CCCGGTTACAAAAAGTCTCTCCTACTTCCTTAGAAGAGGGTGACTTTAAAGTCGTCTAATTAGTTCCTTAGAACTAAGTGGCTTTTAGCCTTAACTCTATTTAGTTCTCTAGAACTAAGAGGCTTCCAACCAAAAGTCTTCCTCTGGCTAAAGAGCTGTGCAGCTCCGCTACAACTTTGGTGGCAAGACGGCTCGCGTAACGCGTTAACATACATACATCGCGTGTTTGTAAAATGTATAAACCTTGCCATTCCAGCGCACAGGAGACCCAGAATTTCAATCTTAATTGACTTGCGCTTGGCCCTTTTTGTTAGAATTAGAACAAAAGGAACAACAATAGCACACACACTTTAGATGCAAAAGAGAGAGTGATATTTGTTTCGTTATTCCCTAGCTAGCTTGCAGTCTACATAATAGGATAAATCATATAATGAAACCCCACACTGGTGTTCCGCGTACACACGATTATACACAATCAGTCTGTACCAGATTACTAAATCATCATCTTGAAGCTTGCCTCCCAACACTTCCGGCGTCCGAGTTAACGAATGAGACATTGCTTGTACACGTGCTCTCCGAATTATCTTATTCTTAGACACAACGTGGTTTAGGCTCATAACATCATGTAGTGAGCACTGGAATAATGTCAAAAGCAAATACGTTTTCTTTTTCAAGAAAAGAAAAAACTCAGACTAGTGCTTTCGCATGAAAACATTGGCGACTTGGGTGGGACGTTTTACTGGGGAGCCACGTCCCAGTGCAACGTCCCACCCAGGTCGCCAACTTTGAAAATAAAAACATTTTTTTCATCAACGGCCACTCGCCAAGAGACGAAGACCTTCAAAGAGCCGGTCAACCGGCCCCCTCCGACCAGGGCGGGTAGTCCCTCCAACGGGAGGCCCAGGATAAGAGGGGGAGGTTTTCCCTCTGCTGCGTGCGCTATGGGGGGCAAGCGCAGCGTGCGAACCGTAAGGGGAGCACCAACCCTGTTACCCCCGGGGGGAGAGGATCGATGACCGCGGTTATCATCCCTCTTCCCCCAATAGTTCCTGCTATTCTACGTCAGCCTTCAAGACGCCGATTCGATCGCTGAGCGCGAATCTCGGTCCCACGAAGTGAACTTGCCAAGAACGTGAATTGATCGGCCCCGTCCAGGTGCATCAGCGGTCGATCGGGACTGATCGGTGTGGTGCCCGGCGCTTGTTGCGATCATTGAGCCACTGTTTACACCTCGGGCTGGATACCCGATTCCACGTGCCCTTTTCGGAGTGTCCCCCGTGACGCCCGACGTCTCGAGCCAGCAGATTGAGCCAGCGAGGCGAAGAATGACGAAGTCCTGGTAGAAGCACTCCAGACATCTTGCCAATCCTTAATGTTTGAAATAGACGGTCTGTTCTTCTTTCTCTTCATCAACGGCCACTCTACCATCAACTGCATAACTACCTTACAATGAATGGGCTGGAAACACCACCCATTTAGTTTGAAGTTAGTTATGCAGTTTCCATCAATTTCCGACTCTTGCCTGTATAAAGGATGCATGCAATCTGCGGAGGTGGGTCAAAGCTGTTCATTGTGGTTTTATTGAGATGAAAGTTCTTATTATTATCGACGTCCTTGCAAAAACGGGATCCAAAACATTGTGACCAATCAAAGTTCGATAAATTTGGGAAGTTGGTCTGATTAACAAGAAGGTGCGGGATATGTAACGCTCCCCTAGATATTACACCAAAATGTTGGTTACAATAAACAGCAAAACGTATTTCTATAGACGTGAGTTCTTCTTTTTATATGCCAAATTTGTAACTAGACACTTGCTATGCCATGTGCAATTGGATAGACCAATGACTTGCATTCCAGTTATCTGCTGCGCTTTTTGTCTAGTTCAGCGACTGAGAGAATGGTGCATCCCATTAACGCTGCTCTTGATTACGAAAAGACTTACTTTGTCAATCACTGCTTAGCACTTGCGTCTCCAACACCAAGAGGCACGTCAAGCAAATAGCGTGAGCTAACTAAAAAAACGTCTAGATCTGAAGGTGGTTTACCTGCCAATTTCCACCAATTCAAAGCCGTTCGGATCACCTACAAGGGCAATACTTGCAAGTATAAACGCGCAAAATTTCGAGTTTTATTTGAAGCTATACGATGGGACGAAAAGATGCACCGCGCTTTAAACATGCTCGTAACCTTACAGTAGCAAAATTTGTATTCATTAATCCGTAATGACTCGTACACCCAAAGCCGACACCCGATGAATACTTTCATTTGCTGGTTGACGCATGAACATCATGTTTGTTGGAACATTCATCGACTTTGACAGCCACTGCACCATCGCAGGATCAAATGCCCCTGTTACAGCAATAAAATCGATCTTGATCGACGGGTAAATGTGGTCAAACAGATTTACCACATGCTCAAACTCGCCTGGAACAGGAGCATTTGGCTCACACACGTGCACCAATCGCAGGCAATACGTGTGTTCGTTGCGCATCACGTACGCCACGGCCTCATTAATTTTCGGCAGATTCACTGCTTTGCAGAAGAATACCACCGGGGTGTTCTTGATAGTCTCAATTGTCTTGGCAATCATGACACTACCCGAAAAAGACTGGTGGGACGGGGCCGAGACGCCTTGAAAGTAAGTTTTAAGCTTGCCCGAAACAAAGAGGAATGCCTTCAGCAAACTCACCCGTTTTAGCATCAGGAACACCACAACGAAGAAAATCGCGAAGTAAATGAAAAAATATGTCAACGCCTTTACATTCGAAATAGCATTCGCGAGGAAACCCAGGGACACCGTACACATGCAAAAAGCTGTGTTGATCCACGATGTCGTTCTCTTTCGCGGAATTTCTTCGCGGTGCAGCTTCAGCAACAAGCACGCAATGATGAAGGACAGAAGTACACTCAGAAAAGCGAGCGCAAAATCACCGGACAGCACCGTTACTTCAGCTTCCAATATATACACGAGACTCGCACACACGACAAAAAACGCCAAGATGATGAAGTGGTTGGTGCCACGGCACGAATTTACCTTAAGCAAGAAGCTGGGCAAAACACGGTCAAGTGCTAAACGCTGGAACAACCCATTAATGCCGATGTACGCCGTCAGCACAGCACCAGCAAGGACACCAAATGCGTCAATTGCCACGAATATTTCCAGCCAGCGGCCACCACTCAGACGCCCCATATACGACAGCAATGTAGACTGATTCGAGATAATCGTATCCAATGGAACAACTGCTAATGCCAACAGCGAGTAAGCCACGTTGAATGTACTAGAGAGTGCCCACATGTTGCGCAGTGTTTTGGAAAACATGCCCGCCGCTTGCTCTTCGACGTACTGCGATGAGCTCTCGAATCCTGTAACCCCCAGCATCGCTGTGCCATAGCCCAAGAAAAGAGCGGAGGCAATATTATTAACGTTTGCCGCGCCGCTGAACGTCGTCAGCTCAGGAAGAGATGTGTTCATGTTATCCGTAAAGATGGAAGGATGCTGTACCACGTAGACGATGCTGAAGATGCTCAATAATGTCAACGTGAACGTGTGGAATACGAATAGGATCAAAGCAACGGAAGCACTCTCAGCGATGCCAATAAGGCAGAGCAGCGCGAAAACGGCTAGTAGCCCGATCGTGCAAGACATGACCGGAATCTCCACCAAAGACTCGTTGGCGTAGTTCATGGCCGAGACGCCGTTGACCACAGCCGTCGATAAGTACGAGAGAATACTGAAGACGGCACAAACAGCAGCACTTTTCTTCGGCCCCGAGTTCAGCATAGCAGTATAAAAACCTCCGTTCAACGGCACAGCACTCATAACTTCTTCAAACACCCAGCGAAGGCAGTAGATCACCGCGACCACAAAAAGTTGCGTGACTGGCGCTAGTTTGCCGGCTTTGGCAATCGTTTGACCCGCAGAGAAGAGCACACTGGACAAAATGGCATTTCCACTGATGGAAGTGGACGTCCACTCTCCCAATTTATTCTTGGTCTCATTGGCTTTCAGCTCTTCGTTTAGTGCATCAATCTCATCCATTCTCCCCTTTACAAATTGTGCCTCACCACCAACATTCGGATGCATCCAAGACGGTTCCTTGAACAGACGATCTGTAACCTGAATTTGGATAAATCGCTGCCGCAATTGACTTGGGGTGTTGGCACTTGTGAAATTCATTTCGTTCACCCACCCCAAGTCGCTTTTGTACACTGTTAGAGACGAAGCTTCACTATAATGTGCATAATCCTCTTCAGGCGACGTCGGCATGCTTGGCGGCAGCAGATCCAAACACAAAACGTGCGCATTTGACTTGGGCATGAGCGGCTTTTTTACCAACTGTCGAAGGTTTGATAAGTTAGTTATACTTGAGAATGTCATTCTGTCAAAACACAGCCAGCGTCGGACCATAGGCTGGCTATAATAAATTTGCCTTATCTGATACTGCCTTAACTGATAACTTATCTAACTGCTAGTTCCAATACCGATTAAGACGCTATGCAGAATAACCGGCCTACAGTAAACTAAAACTTCTTTAGCTTTAAAACATGTAAGTTGATAAGTTTACCGAGGGTAACACTTTAACAAAGTTCCTTTGTTTGTAATACTATATTGTTTCTGCATGCTATATTAACCTCAGAGACGCTCTGGAAAGCCGTGCTAAGATTGATTGGTCCAGTCCAACCAACGCTAAAGCAGGCGCTTGGCGGAGTAGTTCCAGTAACAATGTTCTTAGCGTTGCAAGCGACTAAGCCGTAACCCTCGATCTTACCTCGATTAGCTGGCACGGTCAAGGACTGTGCCGATATCGTATAATTTAGCAAGGCCACGTTTCAAAAAGTTAGCGATGCTCTATAGATTTCGAAGATTAGATGCTTTTGGTAGGTTGTACAGGACTTAACGCAATTTTAGGACGACATATACTGGGATCGCCATTTGCAAAAGATGAATATGTACTTTCGGCTCACGTTTTGACGTCAAAAAACACATGAAAGTCTGAGTCAGTGAAGAAAATAATAATATTTCAGAAATGAAAACGTTCCACAGACGATGAAAGCACATAAATTATTGTTGCCTTTCGATTGGTAATGTTGTCAATTATGTAGGTGTGCTTGTTAAGCTTGTAAACACTCGATGCAGCAGAAAGCGTTCCCTTTATCTATAGTTCGGGGCCCTCACGTTCTTAGTCGTTTGACTTGTATTTTACGTGCAGGATCGTACCATCTCCGCCCATCTCAGATTGTGGTGCAAAGGATCTTCACATGTTGGTGATTGACTCGGCGAGCGAGGGGTTTAGATCATGAATGCGAAGCTAACCACGTTACAACGGTGGACATGCCGGATCTGTTATGGGGAGATGCATTTACTTTTGCCTTGGAGATATAGAATATCATACCCAGTGAAGCTTTGCATGGTGACACACCATATACACGACGTTTTGGAAGACGTCCTGATTTATCGAATGTCCGGATATGGGGTTGTTAGTGTTCGTATTCACACAGAAGATTTTACAAAAAACTAAATGAGAAAATCCCGGTAAACCGGCGATCTTTATTGGCTACGCGAAGAATTCGATCAGTTATCGTATTTTGGATGCGCGTTCGGGAACTATTCAAGAGTTGCGCACTGTAAAGTTTGTGGAGGATTGGACAATTGACCGGACATATATCGACAGGCTGCTCTTAAACCGGTATTGTCGTGACAAGTTTAACCTATCTACCACGATCCCGTATGTTCGCGTGGGAGGTTTCACTGCACCGAGTACTGCATTGGCTTTGGGGATGCCAGGTGACATAGGACATCGTAATAAGAGGTGTTGTTGTCATGACTTTAGCAGTCGTGGATTAGTATCAGTAGATGATGCTCCAAACGTTGGCGCGCCAGAATGGGCTGGCGAGCCTGAAGCATATTGTTAAGCACGACGACCAAATGTACGACTGTCAGATTATGAACTGAATATATCTGCAGCCCTAGTAATTCAAGCAGTGAATGAACTGCTTGAGCATGTCAGTTATCGAAGCTTTGAGTGCCCCAGATGCAAAGCAATGGATAAAAGCTCTTGAGACTGAGTATCACGAATTGATGCGTTATCACGTATGGGAGCTAGTAGATCGGCCTTCTGAGTAAAGATTCTAAAGAATAAGTGGGTATTTGTGCGCAAACGAAAAGTGCAAGGTGACGTGTGCCGGTATCGCACGCGAATTACGATTAAGGGGTGTCAGCAAGAGTATGGTATCAACTTTTGGGAGACATACGCTCCAGTAGCGAAGACTGAGTCAGTGAGATTTGTTTTGCTTCTAGCTCTGTCCTTGGGCCTGCATTGTCGCCAAATTGATTTTGTGACAGCGTTTTCGAATGGGCCTAGACATTTATATGGAACAGCCCGATTACTTTAATGATGGTTCTGGTCGCGTTTGCAAACTGTTACATAGTCTATATGGTCTACGACAAGCACCTCGTATCTGGTAAAAAATGCTGGATGAATATTTGAGAACGTGCGGGTTTCGGCGTACAACAATGGACGCAGGTGTATATGTGCGAACAGTGGGAGAGAACAAAGTGTACATTACCGTATACGTGGATGATCTTTTTATTGTGGGAACGGAATCCGACATTAAGATGGTTTTAGTACAGCTGCGAAGCAAGTTTAAAATTAAGTACTTGGGTCCTGGAAAGCATTTGCTTGGAATGGAGATATCATACATGCCAGGGTGTAGGATGTCAATCACACAACACGGCTACATTTGAAGATTTTAACGCGGTTTAAAATGACAAATTGTAAGCCTGTTCCTACGCCACAAGTGCAAGGCAACTTTTTGATGCCAGGAAACTCGGATGTGGAACCGGTGTGTGTAGACCCAGATCCAGATATAAATTATAGTCAAATTATGGGATCGTTATAATATTTAGTCCAGTGCACGCGTCCAGATATTGCCAACGCAGTGCGAACGTTGGAAAAATTTCTTAATTGTTATACGAGAAAGCACTATGTCCTGGTAAAAAGAGTGTTCCGCTATTTAAGAGGATCATCAGACTACGGAGTACTTTGGACATTGTCTGACAAGACAATAGTGCCGAAGGATGTGTATGTCAACGCATCAAGACCTACAATCGACGTGCAGATTGTGACATATACGGATGCTGATTTGGGAAATGAAAGAGATGATC